AAACGAAAAAGTTCAACTTTCAAACAGACATTTGACATCAATCAGGCTGCGATGAAGAATGAATCAAATTTAAAATATACGTGTTTGTGAGGTTGTTTTCTATTCAAACTGGGTGCATATCATTCCGTAGCATTTGCACAGAGATTGGAAATTCATAAAATATGCAAGTGTACATATATTTTGTATTGGAAAAGAAGAAGCGACTAATGCACTTGTTTCTCGCTTGACAATCATCTACACTAAAAGCAACGTCAAACTTGATTTTAAGGAGGCTCACAATATTCTCTGCCGGCAAAAGTTTATGCACATACTCATGAGCAGCAACCATTTTGCACCCAAAAACCAGCAAATGCATGTTTTATTCATACACATTCCAAGTAATAACACACATCTTGAGTTTTTGCAGCGCACAGCCAACAAATGGAACGTAGCATTCCCCATAGCAAATACATGCTCACGTATATTCATATATTTTCATTAGATTTGGCTGTGTGTATTGTTGGAAGTTAACGTAAACAGAATAATGCATTTTCCATTTAATGAAATAAGTTGTTGTTGCTGCATATATGTATTCGACACATAGAAGTGCATGCAATGAATAAATATCAATTTTGGAGAAAAAATCAGAGCTACATTTTCGGATAACCGACTTCCGTTGCTAACCGCTAACTTCACGAACTCGCACGAAAAACTTTTAGACGAACAGGTAGCGAATGAATGGATGCGTTTTCTATATAAGACAATCCCATTGGACTGTTTGACAGAATAAATACCATTGAAAGGTCTGAATCGGCATATCCCATTTGAAGGGCAGTGGCATCTAAATCGGCCAAACTAGCATATCCGAAATTTTTATTAATGTTCATAGACTTTCCACATCGACGCTATCTGTTTGGCTTGTGTAAAATTTGTTTTTATAAGTTTCACTTTCGTAGAATTTGATTTTCCATTCGCCTTTGAAATGAACAGCGTTCACCAAAACGACACGAGTTTCAGCAGTCAGTATTTCCGGTGTGATTAGATCTTCGATTCTTCTATTTGTTTTCTCTTCGACAAAGTGGTTGATTGTCTCAGCGGTTTCAAAATTTTCCTCAAAATCCATCAGCTCAACGCCTGATCGAAACTTTTCAACGGCCACTTCTCGGAAATCCTTATTTATTTCTTGCCCTTGTTGCACATAAATTTGAGTGACAATCGATAGACTAGCATTTCCAGCACCCGTTTTGAGCAGGCCATAGTGTTCTTGAAATTCGTTAGAAATCGCTGATTTGTCGACATTCAAATGAAGTCCGCATTTTATTTCTTTCAATGTGGTCCCATCAGTTGCTTGCGACAAAAGAGCCAACGCGTTTGTCACGGAGAATGGAGAGATGATAATATTTCCACTGGTCGATTTATCACATTGCTACGATGAAATAGAAACTCATTTCTAAATGATTAACTTGGAATTATTTTCGATTTTCCAAAATATACCTGATACAAGTTCAATGTAAAAGTGGAAATTCCCCTAGAGAATTCGTTTGCATCTGTGGCCACTGCGAAAATAATCGCAAGCGCAATAATCAACCGTAACACTTGAAATGAGAAAAAAAAGGAAATGAAAAGCTTCGATAAGCTGGTTTAGTAATAAATAAAATGAATACTGTTTTGAAATGATCTCAATAGCAGGTGATGTGAATCCATGTGATTAGTTCAAGTTTACAATCACAATTGACTTATCCGCCCATGTTTCGTGCCTTTTTTATCTCACGCGAACCGCATGCCTGTTTAGTGATCACCCTTTCTCGTTACATCAGATGTAACGTATAGGGACCAGATGGATGCGAATACACGGATAGAGAAGGAGAGAGAGAGAGAGAGAGAGAGAGAGAGAGAGAGAGAGAGAGAGAATCACAACGTCGATAGTTGCAACTGCTTCGTGAAAGTTCGTCTTCAAGGTGATTTTATTGATTATTCGATGTGGTTTGTTTTTCGCAAATTCTATTTTGTGTTGCTCAAAATTGCAAGCGAAAACAATGTTTCGATACATCGTGTGGTGTTGCATTTTCAAACAAAATTCCTATTTGGTATTTTGGTACAACAATAAAAGTTGAAATTCTGTTTATTTTTCAATGTCTTTGATTTATTTGATTCTGATTTGGTTGGAATTTTGATTGCGTCACAACGAGAAAATCGACGAAACCAAAATTGAAGAACATTACCACCACATAGTTGATCATCATTTGCCAATTGCAAATACTTTCATTGTGTTCCCTTTTTGTTGCGTACACTCTTCCCAATCGAGTTTCATTATTAACAATTTCATAAATTCCATGCATTTCAATGCGTTTCACGAGCGCAAATCAAATGGACATTATGGGAAACAGCATCGAAATTGAACAGCGGGTCCTTTTGAAGTGCGCTGAACCACATTAAAGTTCGAAGGGTTGGTTTTTATGGTCAATGGCCAACTACATGTGCCCGACTGTGTGCTACTGTGGTTTTATGGGCTCCACCACTGCTCAATTAAGTTGGACTTGCAACGAATCACTACATGCACGAACAAAATCAAATCAGAGAGATGTAAACGGTTTGCGTCCGTTTCAAACCGTCCGAAGTGAATTCGCGTCGAAATAAGCGATGATAAACGTGACAACTCAACAGTATCGCTCAATCTCGTTTACAATACTCAACCATAAAATGGAAAAGTCATGAAATTTAGTGTATCACGTACAAAAGCATTTAATTTATTGCAAAGTTTTAAATAAATAAAGATCAATTTCCATTTGCGCAACATACACACATTTGATTCATTTTGAGTGCAGTGGCGGTGAGGGAGAGAGAGAGAGAGGAATATAAGCGGTGACCACAGTAAAATGGATCGTCGACCATTTAGCGCTTGAAATGAACCTAATCGATTGTCCATAAAATTCATGGTGAATAATGCGACGCATTCACAGAGGAAAACTTTATGGGTTTTCTGTGCTTATGCTCAGCTTTTATTGCTGCTTGAAGTCGATGTGCGATTGGTTTCGACCGAAATTATAGCCACAAAAAAAGAGCACCGATGACAATAGCAACATGGAAACTTAAACACATAAATTACCATCAAAGAGCATATACCAGTGTGTTATAGCTCTGGAGGAAAAGAGAAAAAGAGGAGGAAAAAATATGATGGCAGCTCTCCGCTCGAAGTGCGTTCACCCAAATTGCAAACATCTGATTTTTGTTTCGAACGAAATGAAAATCGCATTTTTATTATAAATGGTCGTTTTGCATTTTTTTTTTGTTAAGCCAATTCATGTGTTCGCTATTTTGATACATTATGTGGTGGCTTTCAGACCATTTCGTACATAATTGGCGCCCACTTCATCGTTTTTCATACAATTTTCGCCACAAAATTTCTCTTACACCCTATTTCATAAACAAATCCATTTTGAGCACTCTCCACATAACATTTTCACTCTTTTCATGGTAAGAGTCCCTCAAAACACTTCATTTCATTAAAAACGTTTCAAACATTGCCAGCAAATAAACCATAAATAAAACGCAGCATTAGCCAACTTCCATACATAATTGCGAAATATTGGTATTTTTAATTAAACTTTGCAAACTAATAATGATGCTAAAATCTATCATTCAGTGGAATGCTTTGACTGTTTGCCAAAATGAAATCATGGTTTCTATCATTGCATGTTTGAGTGTTTATGCAATATATTATGTAATTTTTGTGGGGGAAAAACATTCCTAAGAATAAATTTTCGTGCTCTTTTGACATTTTTCTTCACTTTTTGAACAAGTAATAAGGTTGGGTCTTATTTCCGAAGTTCATAGAAATTCACTTGAAACTTTTAAACTTTTCATCAAAACGATTATATGATTAGATGTTAATACTAGAGTGTTTATCTCTTAAGCAATGTTCCTAACTCCTTGTTGAAACAAACAGAATTTTTATGGCATTTATCGCTGCTCGCAATACATCAACTTCACAAACCACATCAATACATATATTTTTGACATGTTGATTATGTTTCTTACCGCGAAATTCTTATGACATGCCATTCCATCTCATGCTTTAATTTTCTTGAAGTTGAGGAAGTACGATTTTGCATCTTCCGTAATAAAAAAAAGTTGTATCAGCTAAAATTTGCGATTCACTTTAATAGAGTGGTGATAGCCTCTGATAGTGCTTCATCGGCTCGTTTTATCATTAAATTTTTTTTCTCATCTTGATTTCGTGACAATTTATTCCGACCTTCTGAATGTCCATGAAATGATGCGTGCAATTGATTCACTGGCACAACGTCTGAATTATGAATCGATTTGAAAGCGAAAAATAAATCGATGGCAAAAACATCCAAGAATTATAGGTTTGATAGCGCAAAATGTCGAGTGGGCGTTGTTGTATCTGCACAAAGGAAGTGGACGGAAAAGTGACTAACAATAGCTGTTAAAAAAAATTTATTGGATCGAAAAAGCGATATTTATTTCTGGTACGAACATTTTAATCTACAGAATAATACGTGATTCATCATTCTGAGCATCTCTTTTGTTAGCCGTTGCGCGTTGCTGTTTTTTCTCGTTTTCTGTTCGTGTGTATCAAAAAGCTCGTACATAAAATCAAGTGGAATGAATGTATTGTTGTCATCCAATGTCGATTATTTTTTCCCCTCTGCAACAATAATTTCAGGGCAAATGGAAAAAAGTGTGCATTTTCACTTCATAGCAAAAGCAATAAGATTTTTTTTGTGTCATACCGAAGCCACATGACATTCTTCTGGTTGCCAAGTGATTAATTAAAAATTTAATCCAAATGGAGAAAAAATTGAATCACTTTTCCGCATTTCATACAATTGAATTATTATATCGACATTTTTTTTGATTACATTTGATAAATAAAATTTATATTGATAAATGTGTCAGTTACAACGAATGTATTCAGGCGGTGGCATGCGGACCGATTGAGTCGTTGATAAAGTTTTTTGCCCTCGCTGGGCACTGTATTGATCGAAAACATGCAATCGATTCGGTGTATAAATGTGCGAAGCGTACTCGAAACACGTATTCAGTTGATCAAATCAATCCAACAGAATGGCGTTCAACATCAAAAACTTTCTTTTTCTCCTCGTGATTTTCAACGTTCACTTAATTCAATTGAATTTGGCAGACGATGATGTAATACCATTCATTACACTTGACTGAAACTTTCCAACATTTTCCGTTTTTTTGTTGTTAATCTATTTTTGTGCTTTATTTTTAAGTACACTATCCTCTATGACCGTGTGGAATTGTTCAACGGCACCGGCGAACATTTCGAATACAAAATTCACAATGTAAAAAAGGACGATGCGAAGAACATTTTCACCGTTGATGCTATGCTCGGGATTAAGCAAGACATCAGCAACGATTGGAAGGTATGAAATAATTTGTTTAAATAAAAATGCATTTTCAACTGACTTGCATTATGTTCCACACTTCTACTCCCATCAGGTATCCATCGAAATCTTTAAACTTGATGAAAGTACCAACGAATATCAATCGCTGTTCGCCCTGCCAAAGTTTGGCACATGTGCTTTTATGAAGACCATTTACAAAAAGTACTTTTATGACGAAATTTCCAAATATTCAAATTTACCGAGCTACGATGTATGCCCAGTTCCACAGGGTAAATACGAAATCAAAGGCTATCCAATCGACATGAACAAATTCGAACATCTGAAGTCATTCGCCCAACCTGGATCCTATCGCCTGGACTGGTTCATGATCAAAGACGATGTTGCTGTGTACGGAGTTAGTATCTACGGGCAAATTGCCGAAAAGGAGTAGACTGTCTGCTTTGCCTTTCAATTGCACTATTTGAGACTGTCGGTCAACTAAGACACTAGTACTTTACACTTAATGGACTGGCATTTGAGGAAAAACTTTTGCATTTTAATCCACAATCCCATTCTCAAAATGTTGTTCAGAAAAACCAACATTAAATATACTTTGAAATACATTTGTCTGTGGTTAAAAGTAGAAGGTTTACTTGCCCTTTGGCATCTTTGATCTGTCTTCATATCTCCAACTCTTGAAACATTTCGAAATTCGAACATTTCGCAAAGAGAACATTTCGAAATCCGTTGTGGTTTTTCCGGGTGATAGCTTCAGCTGTCGTCTATCAATCATGCATACTATAACTTATGTATACTAACATTCTGTTACTATGAACTGCAGGTTGGAGAGAGAGTCAAGTAACACAACCGATATGTTTAAAGGTTCGAATGAATGTGTTTATTCAAATGAAGTGCGTTCGGCGCTTGCGTGCATGCGCTAGTCGTTTGCGTCGCTAACACCTCCTTTCTTTAAGAAGATGTAAATAAATTCACTTAAACATTTGTGTAATTCTTTTCTTACTTCTATGTTCACAATGTTTGGTTTGTTTGTAAAATTGATGTTAAATACAAATAAACTGTTGGATTACCTCTCTTCTTTTAAGAATTTATTTTCATCTTAACATTGAATAACGCGTCGCTAAATTGGTTTATGAATTTTTTTGAATGGTTAGCTACTTCCTTTGAAAAAACTCTAGAAGCAATTCAAGTAGATCTTGTTTTATTTCATTCTTCGAACTTAATGGTTCGATTTTTGTGAATAGTCACTTCTTTACCATTGATTTCTACCGTGACATTACATTCTTCTACTTTCTTAACATTGAACGGACGCCTGTAAATATTGCTTAATTTATTGTATGGTTCATTTCGAATCAAAATTTTTTCATTTTCTTTTATTACTTTTCCGCAAACTTTGTTTGTTAGGTAAAGTATTGGTTTTACTAGCCAAAATTTCATGACATCTCCTCTTTCGGACCACTATAACGTCACGCCAAACTTCAAAAAGCACATATCTGTACACTAGGCAATGTAGATGGGATGAAATCCTATCGATCAAGACCTATCTACCCCCAAAAACATGTTGTTTACTATGAAATATGTGCAAAATAGCGATGTGCGTATGGCGTCGTTCGCGTCCGAGCTTTTTGTTCGCCCATTATCTCAAAAAGTTGACAAGATAATTGAGATCTGTAAGAGCCAATAGTTTTGGCATGTCGAGACAAAGCTTCGGATTGATTTTCAGCCCATTCTGATTTACCAATTTCGTACCATAAGCCTCCGATGGGAAAAATCAAATGAAAAATCACAAACTAAAATCTAGATTGGATAAGAAATTTCATAACAATGGTCCGAGAATTCGAGATTTGAAAAATGTCAGAAAATTTACGCCGTAGAACGTAACAGATGCTTTAGATTATTTTTAAATGCGACTAGAGATTTAGAATTTCCAATTTCGACCGGTATACTATTCCATGATCTGTGGTCAACTTTGAATCGACTTTGAAACGGAATGTGTTTTGTGCATGCAGCGAGGATGTGACATTTTTTAA